TTTGCTTAGGCTTCATGTTAGTTTTTCAAAGAAAAGGTTTTGATTTTTCTTATCTGCCCTGCATATATCTGTTACTTCCAAAATTCCTTAATAAAACAGCGTGAACTGTGCATGCTTCAGAGCAAAGTTTTGCTAAGGAGATGTTAATATTTGAAAATGTGCCAAGCCTTTTCAGCTAATATCTGTTAAAATTTGACACTTAATTCTCTTGAATGTCAGATGTAGTTTTTATTTGCTATCAGAAATAAGTTCATTAGAAATAAACAATACAATATGCATGTTATGTTAGATATATGCATATATGCATTTTTTCTTAGTGGATCTAATGAAAATTACTTGCAGTCATATCCTGCCAGTTTCATGGCTCTGTTCTAGGGAGGCATGAGCAGGGATTGAATGGCTAGAAAGGAATTGCAGCACTGCTGTAGTAGGCAGGATGAGTTGGTGGAAGTAAAGTGTTGACTTCTTTGTATAGTGTGGAGTTAGGGTTTTGATCCCTGATGAAGTTGAGAAAGGAGGACAGTGTGGAGAAAGGGAGAAGTGCTGTAACTGTTGAGGAAGAAATGCATGTTTTTTCTCTCAGCCTTGGCCAAATTATAATTTCTGAGCCAGTGCACAGTTTAGGACAAGCCCTTTCAAATTAAGTTCCAGCTCACTAAATATTAACAAATTGTAACTTCATGTTTTGGCTGTCAAAGCTGCTTCCTGTCTTGCTAGTCCCAGGAGCTGCTTGGCCTCAGCTTCACTGTTTCCATGCAAACACAGTGGTGGTTTGGTGTTTGCTCTGTCCCCTTCACGTGTTCCTGATGGCAAAGGGGTGTGCCCAGAGTGCATCATGGGTATTAGCAGAGGATGTTCCTGAAAATAGTTAATTGGGCTTCAGTAAATGAAGACTGAAAGCCTGAGGCACAGAAATAGAGATTGAAACTAGCCTGAGTGAAGTTGAAATGTCAGAGGAAAATATTCCTGCAAGCAGTCCAGCCTGTGACTAGAATTAAGAAAGAATCAAGAATATGGAATGAGTTGCATTTGCAACTGCTGTCTGAATGGGTATCCAGTTAGAAGCAAACACTTCTGTCAGTGGCTCAGGTAGTGTGTGCTTCAGAGCTATTCTACAGGTCACCGAGAGAAACTGCAGTGTTGATCAAGGTGAGACTTGGAGGGAAAGTCTGTGAGGTTGTGATTTGCTTTTGTCTGTTCTGTTCAGGAGGAGCAGTTAGAAGCAGTGTTGTCAGCTGCTGTGCAAACTGGTTCTTTAGAACTTCTGACGGGATGCATTAAACACTGGACTTGTGAAGGTAATGCTGCTTCCATTGTTTTTATGTTGTGTCTGTTTTGGCTGGAAATTGTGGCTTCATGTCCATTTTGTTTTCTGTTTTTAAAGAGCAGCCAAGTTCTGCTGTAAATTTACGGTTTGTTCTGGAGTGGACGTGGAACAAAGTGATCTGTACAAAAGATGAACTGGACCAAATATGTGAGTAGTGGTGTGGTGGTTTTTGAAGCCAGCACCTGTATTCTTTGTAAAGGATCTTCTTGAGTAATCTGCCAGAGTATGCTGCTGGTTCTTTAAGTCTCTTGTGGTTGTTGAAGTGTTTAAGTTTGGAAGTGTGCAGTTGCTCTGCTGAGTGGTGATTTAATATTTCTCCTTGACCAGGTGTTCCGCTGTTTGACGGCTCCTGCAACTTCATTGACCCACAGACATTACAGTCCCTTCAGCACTGCCAGCTGCTGCTGAGCAACCTCAGCACAGTCCTGAACTGTTTTCTAACAGAAGCCCGAGAGCTGACTGAGAAAGGTTGGTGAGAGCACTGCTGGGCCTTTGGTCTGATTGTTAAGATTTGGAAGGATGCTTGGGTTGTAACAGGAGCCCTTGTTGTTTTGGATGGTTGGGGAGAGTTGGGTTGAGCTGGGAGGAGAGGCTTAAATCTAAGAAGCTGGGACTTTGATTTAAGCTGCTTTGAGTTCGGAGGAGCAGCTTGTTGTGGAGTTCATGAGGCTGGGTAGGGGAGGCTGCACTGGTTCAGCTCTGAGCTGAGTGAGAACCTGGGTGGCATTTACAGCACCTGAGTGTGGTAATGCTGAGAAGTGTTGCTAGCAGTTGATAGTTATGTGCAGATTGCTGGGAAATACAATAGAAGCTGAAATGTGTAACATGTAAAGGAAGTTCCTTGAGTTCTTTTGGCTTCTGATTTTATAAATTGTTGTTGGCATATTGAGGGAAAAAGCGGACTATGGTCTCTTTTGCTAAAGTAAAAATCTCTGCTACATGGAAAACAAACATTGTCTTCCTGAGTATATCTAATAGTTTTGGCTTTATTTTTCAATTTTAATCTTTAGTGATTCTGTTTCTTTGTAGCAATTGGGTTTTTTTTTTGGTGGGGTGAATGGTGGTTTTTTCCTTCAAATTCATAAGTGATCCAGAGGGACAACTACAAAGACAGGGTTCTAATGTGTTTGTTCATACTTTCTATTCGTTCTGCAA